TAATTTAATAATCTTATTAATAACAGGATCGAATGTTCCTTTAATATCTTCAAAAGTCATTTCAACAAGCCATTCATCTAGAAAATTCACGTGACAAAAGGTCTGCAATTTTATTTTGATAAACTTTTTTGTGTAACACGTCACTTTAGGGCTAAACATAGTAAATTTAGTAAACTTGTACAACTTTGAAGCTCAAATTCTCCACAACAACATGACATATCAATGAGATGAAATCGTGATTTTGTAGAGGAAGGTCTTGACTTCAAATACACGATTTATTTTGGGATGTTGCATTTCCATTTTGGAGAATTTGAAAATCTACATACATAGGGGTTCATACATTACATGTTTTCGTAACACTGCTTTTTTTCTTCTAAATCTAAAAAAAAATTATATATTCATGATTTAATTGAAGCCTTTATTATCAGTCGCAGGATCTACAGGGGGTCAAGTGTCACTCATATATAAAATTAATGATCTGCATAATTTTATATGTAAAATCGAAGAAAAAAATCACTCTGGTATACACAAACCTACCCGATCTAACCAAGATTGTTCCTTGAATTATAAAAAATTGAAATATATGGAAAACCCTTTATTTTGACATACTTTTTGCCAGGGTAAACAAATAAGACTTGAAGAAAATCTTAATGTGAAGTTGGTCTACCAGCTCTATAAGTTCTATAAGAAATTTAGATATGCACAATTCAATCTTTCGACTTCATTTTTTTTTACATAATAATAATTAATGCAATAGTAAGTTCTAATTTCCAAGCTTTAAATATTTATTTTAGAATTTGTTTATAGAAAAGTATTAATTTTTTTTTATAATATATATATCACTGGGTGAATTAGAAAGTTGTATCAAGCAAATTTATTAACTCGGTGATATTTATTTAATATTTTCAAACAAAAATGAATTCGTATAATGGACTTCTTTCTATTAACAAAATGCCAGTTAACTTAAAGAAAGATTTGTTGATTTTTGATTAAAGTTTCATTAATGATTATTAACAGTTTTAATTATACATACATACATACATACATATCACTTTGCAAGCTTCATAGATCTTGCTTTTAACACTTCAATCAACTGCTATATAACTACAAATAATTGATAAGACATTCATCAAGTATAACGATTCAGAAGGATTTTTATTTACATATTTAATAAATAATATTAATAATAAGCACAGATTGTACTTGTAAAAACCAAGGTTTGTTTGTTATATTCACTCTCATTAATTCCGATGTATATAAGATCTAGATGATTATGTAACAATATATTAATAAATAATATTAATAATAAGCATAGATTATACATGTAAAAACCAAGGCTTGTTTTTTATATTCACTCTCATTAATTCCGATGTATATAAGATCTAGATGATCACGTAACAATATATTAATAGATAATATTAATAATAAGCACAGATTATATTTGTAAAAACCAAGGTTTGTTTGTTATATTCACTCTCATTAATTCCGATGTATATAAGATCTAGATGATCATGTAACAATATATTAATAGATAATATTAATAATAAGCACAGATTATATTTGTAAAAACCAAGGTTTGTTTGTTATCTTCACTCTCATTAATTCCGATGTATATAAGATCTAGATGATTGTGTAACAATTTTATATATCAATAGATAATATTAATAATAAGCATAGATTGTACTTGTAAAAACCAAGGTTTGTTTGTTATATTCACTCTCATTAATTCCGATGTATATAAGATCTAGATGATCGCGTAAC